CGGGGGCTTGTCTCAGCGTGGGATTTGTGCAGGACTGATGGGGCTACGGGCCAGGCTGCTCGAGGCCTGCTCTTGACCAGAATTGATCTGCTGTGTTAATTGCCACCATTGATCAGCTACGGGCCTGACAGAAGCCTGTTGCCTTGCGAGAGGCCACTACCTTTACGGAGCCATAATAAACTTCCGCAAGAAATCACAGCATGGCCGATGGAAACATCACAGTCCACTTTACCACAGCTGGGCTTTCACTTAAGCAGAGGAGGCCTCGGTCATAACTCTAAAAAAGATACGGCCTGGCCGCTAATAAACTACGTCAAATAAAAGTCAAGGAGTTTGGAGGAAGGATTCTATTTTTACTCCGCGTGGCAGCGCCGTAATTCAGTGTTTTACTTCAGCAGCTAAAGTTTTACAGGCTCCTCTGGTCAAGCGGTGCGGTGGGTGGGGGAGATAGAGCCTGGCCCCCACTGTTTTATATGCAGCCGCTTTAGCTGAGGGGAGCAGGGTGTTCAGAGAGGTCTGATGGGATTTTCAAGTCTAAATAAATAAACAGAATAAAAAGCACTGCAGAGAGAGAGGGAAGGGCTTCTATATAGGGAGGTGATATTAGTTTGTGATTGATTGGGGAGCGAGGGACCTGGGGAAGGAGCAAGAGAGCGAGAGAAGGAGGGAGGGGGGAGCTTGCATAAGAGCCAGGTGCTATGGCATTTGTCATTTATTCTTAATGCTGTTAATTATCATGTTCGCCTCGTTTGGCTCTCTCTCTCTCTCTCTCTCTCTCTCTCTCACACACTTTCTTTCTCTCCTCCTTTTTCTTTCTCCCTCATCATCCCTTCGTTTTTTTCTCTCACACACTCCTTCTGTATCTCCCTCTCTCTCTCTCACTCTCTCTCCTCATCTCTCACTTACACCCACACTCCCACACTTCTCTGTCTTCCTCCTCTCTCTGTCTCTTGCGTGCTTTCTCTCTCTCTCTTTCTCTCTCTCTCTCTCTCTCTCTCTCTCTCTCTCGCTGTTTCGCACTTGCTTGCTTGCTTTTTTAATTTTCTAAATGCTTGCTTTTAATTAAACATCAAACTCACACAACAGTGAAAGGAAGTAAATTATGCCCAACACCCTCAGCCTTCTTTATAAGCTTTCTCAAACCGTGCCTGCTGGATTTCTAAGAGCAGTGCAGTGCAGGAGTATTCACTTTAAACTCATACATTTGCATTTACTGCTCAATGCTGCTGTTATGGAACCCAAAATGACCCTGTGGGCAAGATATGCATGCATGTATACCATACTCTCTCTCTCTCTCGCTTTCTTTCTCTCTTATTCTTCCTCTCTCTCTGTCTCTCACTATCTCTCTCTCTTCCTCTCAGTCTCTTTCTCTCTCTCTGTCTCACTGTCTCTCTTTCTCTGTCTCTTTCAGGTCTCTCTCTCTGTCTTTCTGTCTCTGTCTCTCTCTGTGTCTCTGTTTCTATGTCTTTTTCCCTGTCTTTTTCTCTCTCTCTCTTTGTTTGTTTTTCTGTCTCTCTCTATGTAACTGTTTTTATCTCTCTCTCTCTCTCTCTCTCTCTCTCTCTCTCTCTCTCTCTCTCTCTCTCTCTCTTTCTCTCTCTCTCTCTCTCTCTCTCTCTCTCTCTCTCTCTCTCTCTGCACTGTAAAAAATGATGTGGTCAGCCTACTTAAAACATTACATTGACATTGATCTTTATACATTGCTTTAACATTGTAATTTTTCTTTTTTTGAGAAAAAGAACTTCAAATGATATGTATTACAAGTGCTACAATTTTTATTATTATCATTATTATTATTATTATTATTATTATTATTAAGAATAAGCCTAAATTATTTTGTGTGTAAAAAATGGGGTTTTAAAGTTAGTGTTTATACTGTCAAATGACACAGATTCTTGTTCTGTTAAAACTTCAATTAGCTCAAAATTTTAAGGTGGCCTGAACACTAAAAACAGAACTATAGGGTAGATGCAGATTTAATTGACTCAGGAGTTATTTAAGTGTTATTTACTTTAACGTTGTAGAAACACGCTCTTTGAATAGTTGCAATGCAAAAATATAAATGAACTAAAAACAGACTGTAAAAAGTCAGCATGACAAATAAACACAAATCAAAAGAGAAAAGTCTAGGAACGTGGTGCTTTTACATTCTGTTACTGTCCAGGCACTACAGCGCCCCCTGTGGCCTCCCCCCCTCCTCCCCTCGACCTACCATCTGTTCTCTGTCTGCTCTTTTAGTCTTTCTTTCTCCCTGAGTCCCAACTCTATCTCTACCTCTCTCGCCCACCGCTCTCATCCTCTCCATGCCCTCTCATTCTCACACACCTCCTAATTCTTCATTTACATGTGTTAAGTGGAACAGGGGCCTGTTTAGCAGACGGTATTTTTAGCAATGATGATGCAACTCCTTCCTTACAAAGAAATTCTGCTAATACACGGAGGTAGAAGCAAAGCTCCTTCAGGAGCTCCTGCTTTTTTTTTTTTAGTCTGGAGATGACAACACTGACACAATTGCAGTTTAGCCCACAGCTTTAGCAGCATTAGCAGCGTGTGCCACTCACATCTCAGCAGTAAGCACTCGGAATGTTTTCATACAAGTTGACAAATCATATTGTTCTTGCTCCCCTCCATCTGTTTAGCAAGACGGCAAATGTGCATTTAGTATTTGTGCAATGCTTCGTCAGTATTATTAGAAAAGCCCCCACATCTCATCAAGACACCATGCTTAATTTCCTCTGAAATGAAAAATTCCTCTAAAACAAGTTGAATTCCTGCAATCAAAGCCAGTTTGACGTCCTTTGCATTTGAACACATGAGAAAGGGGAGGTCTTGTGCAAAGAAAAGTGTTGAGTACCCCCTTCCCCTTCCAAAAAAACCCTACAAATGTTCAAATTGTTAACAAACTATCTGTTGAAACTGATTCTAAACAGTGGTGGGGTTAGGGTTAGGATTTAGACCAGGGTTAGGGCTAGGACCAGGGTGAGGGTTGGGTTTCGGTTTTGGGTTGATGTTAAAGTTAGGGTTAGAGCCAGGTTTAAAGAAAATTAGGGTCAATTTAGTATAAATTTAATTGAATGTAACTTGAAAGTAAATTTAGTATCTACAAAGCATCTAAAGTGGGCTATCCAAATAAAGTGTAATTGCCTTGTGATTCTGTACCGGTATAAAAAAAAGTTATAATTGGCTTTTTTTTTTTTACATAAGCATATGCATGACAGTTTATGTAACTGAATCATCTGAAAAGCTTGAAAGCTGAGAGCTAGCATGATATTTTCTCCAAGACATGTCAAGCCAGCCATACATTTTCAAACTGCCGCTAATGCAGCACCATTGGACGGCTCAACACGCTTGGAGGAGAAGACTAATTGCCAATTATGTTGCATCTGTTAACAGATGCCCACATCGGCCAACGTCCTACCCACCCAGAGAGAGCATGGCTAATAATGCTGTCTTGGACTCCCAGCCACAGATGGCTGTGGCATCAGCAGGCATCAAACTTGCAATGAGGCCAATGTTTAAACTGTTGTGTTTACCTATTCTTTTAGTTTAGTTTGAACCAGTGGCGTAGTCAGAATTTTATTTGGGGCCTGGTTACAGGATGAGGGAGCCACCTAGCAACCATTAAGGCCCTATAGTGAGGATTACCACCATATAGCCAACATCATCATAGCTAAATCATTAGAAAATTACCCTACCATTAACATAACCATAGGGAAAAAACAGGTTTAAAAACAACACGATTGTTTACCTCACATTTTATCAGCTAATGTTAGTTACTGTAACAGCTGACAGTATACCACAGTGGGTAGAGCCTAATTAACCTACCTTTTACAGCATTAAGCACAGATGTTTGGGGTGAATGCTTGAAGATAGCAATATTCTTGTCACTTTTTCACAGTGCTGAACTTCTATGTCTATGATGACCTTACATTTTGCAATATTAGTGGACAGTTTTTTTTTTATGGTGAGAAATCTGGGGTCCTGGCTTGAGCCCCTGTAGTTACACCCCCAGTTTAAACGTATTAGATGGTGAAACATAAAACCGTAGGCCTATAGATGTAACAAGTGTGCCATGGACAGGCTACAGTTCGATTTTAGCTGCTGCTACTTGTGAAAATGGGCAAATATGGGAAAAATGATAAAATAGCCTACAGAAATCGGAAATCAAATCAGAATTAAATAGTGTGGTGCCTAGATTCCCTATCCATGGGCCTCTCAAATGTTAGATCTGCAGCCTTAATTTATGGGCAGCGCTGTCTCCATCCTTTGCCATGCGGAAAACTAGACTTTCCCATATTTTGCTGGAAAAAAATTAGACATTAATGCTGGGATCAATTCCCATCACAGTGGGAAAGGAGAGGAGAAGAGGAAATTGAATTTATACTGTAAAGCTCCATTAATAATCGTAATGATAACCTTGAATATCTACAGGTATACAATGACATGCTTATAAATAGCTCTGGCACTTCGGAGATGATGTACGGCAGACCTGTGTGTGAGTTTTATGTATGTTTATGTATGAGACTGAACACACACACATGCATCAATATGGTTGAGTATCTTCCATGAAGTGAAATTGCTGTAATCTGCTAAATTAAAAGCGTTTGCCAGGTTTTGTGGGTGGTAGCGCTATCAAGCACTGTGTACTTAAGAAGTGTGTGTGTGTGTGTGTGTGTGTGTGTGTGTAAAAGAGTGAATCCTTGAGCTACACAGATACCGGGGTGATTCCATTTGTGGAGAGGCTCTGCTATAGCTGCCAGTGACTGATCTGGAGAGATTGTAAAGTAGAGCATAGACTGAGGGGAAAAAAACAGAAAGGAATAAGACAAACTTGCTGACAGAGTGGATTCTTACTCTAAATTAATAAGATGGAGGGAGAGGGGCTTGCTCTTCCCCCTTTTTCCTCACTCCATTAGTGCCAACATACTGCAAAAGAAATGCTTCCAAACATGTGTAACATAAGAAGATATAGATTTTAATATCTTTATAAACATTTTTTTTTGTATAGTCGTCTGAGAACAACTTGTCAAACCATCAAATAACTGGGTTGGCGAGACGCAGGAGAATAGAGGGCACGGTGGAAGAGTAAGGGGACTGGATTGTGCAGTTTCTTTGAAAATGGTGCCTAAAGCATGTAAGAAAAAAAAACCTAAATGAAAAGAAAATCAAAAGGAAAAAAAAAACTGCAGAAAGGTACCCCTCTGCTTGAGAAGTCAGAAACCCTGTTGTCATCAGAAATGTCATACAGTCACAGTTTTTGCCATATTCTGATTAATATCTCCCTTACAAGTCCATCTACTGCTGACAGTACAGTTCACAGTTCGTTATTTTTTACAAAGACGATCTCAATAAAGGAGGCACAATTCTCCAGCAGTTCTCCAGCACCCGCAGCTGATGACCCGACGCCCTGTCCACATTGCTGCCTCTGTCTGAAACAGACGCGATTGTCTTTCTCCAGGACCCCAGCTTGCCTTGTTTGAAAACAGCAGTCATTAAGTGTCCAACGAGCAGTCCTATGGCTCCAAAAGGTCATTTTTGGCCAAGGTGAATTGAAAATCGCTGTTATACTTCATCACAACAAGATAGTTGAAGGAACATTGTTTTTTTTTTTTCCTTATCTTCTCTGGTTATCATTGAACAGTGGTTTCCCAGCCTGCTAAGAGAGAAGGGTGTCCGTGTTTTTGATGGAGGGTTCAGACAGAGGGCTGTTAGCAAAAATGGAGTTCACCCCAATTTGACCTGGGTCCCCTCGGGGCACTTCCTGTTTCTATGCCCCTGTTAGCAGGTCATCTCCAGTTTCCAGCTCAGCCAAATCAAACAAACACAAAAGACAAGAAACACCCACAACTTTTCATTTCTGTTTATCTTGGACACACATACACACACGCACATGCACTCACCCACACACTCTCTCTCTCTCACACATACACGGTCACACTGAATTTTCGAAGCATTTGCTTCTTTAAACAATAATAGCAGCTTGTTATCGTTAGGCTTCATTATGTATTGTCACAAACTAATCCAGACATAGAAGGGTGAGTGGCAAATGATACAGTTGTATGCAAAAGTTTCAAATGACATATTTTGTTGATTTTCTAGGTGACATTAAGTACACAACCTCTACAGAGAACACAATTCTGCATATTTTAATGCACAGTTACTGTAGGTCTATTATTTACTGAATGCAACATATTAGGACAAAAATGCTAAATGCAAAAGTTATGGCACATTTTATTTATTTATTTTTTTGGTATGTCAAACAAAATCAACAGAACTGTGTCATAAGTGTGCACTTAAATTTGCAGAAAAATGCCATATTTAAGTTTGCTCCCTGTTGAGGATGTGAACTTGTTTTTACATAGAAATCCGGAAAAAAGCAACTTCACCGAGGCGTTAATACTTTTGCATGCAACTTTTTATGTAGAAAGAAAAGAAAATGGAATGATGATGTATAAAACATCTATTTTGAAAATGTATGGAGTTTAGGCAACAGTTTGAGGTAAGATAACCAGTGTGCTTTTATAGAGGCTAGTCAGTCCGAGTGCACTGTATTCAACAGTTTCCTTGTAAAACACTGAAAAAGGTTCTAGTCTGATTAGAAGGTCCTCCCTGGTGAAAGATAATAGTACATCATTTTTCATCTGGCATGGTTTCGATGGCAGCAACTATTCAGAAAGATATATTTGGCAGGACTTTAAAACTAAGTGAAGGATGACATTTTAAAGTACAACTATTTGTTTCTGTTTGCTACGCCCAATTTGACCTCTTGAAGTCACAAACTTTACTGAAAATAATAAAATAGGGTGGCATAAATGGCATTTCTCTCAACCTGACCTTTACCGGGTTATCTCCAGAATGTCTCGCTGGGTTTGGGGAGTAGCAGAGTACATGTAACATAAAAACCTAAAGGTGGAAAACCTGTAAATCATTACAAACAAATGAATGGAGAAATGACAGTAAGTTTCAAAGAAACAGACAGTAATGAAAGTTTTGATGCTTTCTGAAAATGAGGTGATTATTTGCAGAATTACATTCAGATGTTGTGATGGAAAGAAATTTCAAGCAATATCTTTTTCCTTAAACACTAGATACAATGCAAACATAAGAAAATGAGAAAAGAATGGCAAAATATAAGAAGGGCACACCTAAGAGAGGCAGGATCACTGGCAGGAAAGCTTCACGGTCTGGATATACAAGCAACACAATTTTTTAGTTCAATATATGGCCACTTAATTATACAAGAATTTAGATGTAAAGGAAATCATGTGAATATATTAATAAGCTTGTTTAATCATTTAAATTTAGATTACATTACTAAAATATTTTTAATCTGGTAATTTGTAATCTGTAATGGAGTGACCTTCCCAGACCTGGATTTCAGTTACATGTCATATTCCCTTTTACATGTCATTTTGGTGAGCTTTCATAAATATGTAGCTGATAGAGACTCAGCCAAAAGTAAATGAAAATGTCATGGCAACAGTGGCAGTGCAAGCATGTTTAGTTTGCCCTAATTCTTCTCTTTCAAATCTTCCACCTTTGGCTCACCCCAATTTGTGAGTCTTTAGCAATATGATGTTCAACCATGTGTGTCTATTTCAGAGTCTAAATGGCAAAGCTCCTTACATAGTATTTTACAGACATACACACAATGACTTGCACTCCCACACACACACTTGCACACACACAGAGACACATGTTAAGAGGCCTTGCAAGGCTGGAGCTAGAGTGGATCTGAGGACTGCATTGTTTTTGTATAGCTATAATGCATCAGCATCAAGTTCAGCGTAGGATGAATCCAGTGCTTAGCAGCACAAGAAGTCCCACAGTACTGGAGAAAAAGGAGAGGGGCCAATAGGCGTTCCCTCTGTTGGTGGCTTGCTGGACCCCACTGGGGGGACGCACAGAGGTCCGGGGGGTACATTTGTGCTTTCTCCGTGTGGTGGAACTATCAGGGGAAGTGTGGTCATATTTTCCAGTAAAATCTGGTGAGGAGTACTCCTTGTCTGCCATCTCCTTTGAGGTGTGCACCTCGTTGGGCCCTTTTCCTTTGCTGTCCCTGTTTCGCTGGCGCGTACAGTTCCGGGAGCGACCGGGTCTCTGAGGAGTCACCACATCTGGGGAACCTCCTGGTCCCGCCTGCACCCCGTTAATAGCAGGGGGTGGCTGGGGCAGAGGTGAAGGTGAGGAGGGGAATTGTTCAGTAAGGTGGGGCTGGTGTGGGTGTGTTTGGGGAGGCTGGGCAGGTTGGGGCTCTTGCTTCAATGAGACCTTGTCTGTTCCAGCCCATGACTTGGTCTTGCTCTGGTGCAGAGACTCAGATCCAGAGCAGTTGGGGAAGTCCTCTTTCCTTAGCTGCTTCAGGTCCTTTCCTGCCAGCTCGAGTGGAGCCACGCAGCCAACTGATGATGTGGAGCCACGGAACCTCTTGAGCCAGTCCCACAGAGACAAGGCCTTGCAGTCACACTCCCAGGGGTTGTCATTGAGACGCAGGTACTCCAGTGCACCCAGCAAGGTCAGGCACTCTCCAGCCAGTTCTGTCAGAGAGTTGTTGAACAGATAGAGGGTGGTGAGGCGCTTTAGGTCGTGGAAGGCCAGACGGTCCACCCACTGCAACTGGTTGTGGTGCAGCAGCAGCCGGTCCAGAGCCCGCAGGCCTCTAAAGGTATTCTGGTGCAGGCTCCACAGGCGGTTTCCATGAAGAAACAAGTGGCTCAGGTTGTGCAGGTCTATAAAGATATCGTCCTGCAGGTACTCCAAATGGTTGTCCTGTAAAGAGACAGAGGAGACAGTTTTTGTTTTTGATAATATGTAATATTGCTAATGTGCAGACAAAATGACATAAGCCTTAACCAACTATATGACTGAAAACTTAGGCTTACTTGCAAATATAAGTACTGCAGATTGCGAAGGCCCTGGAAGATGTTGTTAGGCAGTGCACTCAGGCCACAGCGGTACAGGTGCAGGGCATGGAGACGACCAAGCCCGTGAAAGGTCTCTGGGGACAGGGTGCGCAGGTGGCGGTTGTCCCCCAGATCAAGCTCCTCCAGCAGGGTAAAGCCTTGAAAGGTGGAGGGCTCAATGTAGGTGATATTATTGGAGTAGATCCATAGTGTGACCGTAGTGGGACTGAAGTGGCCCCGCAGTAGCCTGTGGATCTTGTTGTTCTGGAGGAAGATGCGCTCACTGTGCGGGGGAATGCCCTCAGGGACGGACAGAAAGTTGTGGGCCTGGCAGCTGACGGTGCTGGGGGCTGAGTAGCAGATGCAGTGACGCGGGCAGGACCAGGACAGCTCCAACCCACAGAGCACCAGCAGGAACTCAAGCCCACAGCCTAGAGAAAGAAGATGGGAGACAAAAGGTGAGAGAGTCAGAAAAGGCTTGTTGGAATGGAGCCCAGCATTTTGTCCATTTTTGAGCTTGAAGATAGAACTGGTGAGCAAGAGGATCTGATGTACCACATGTATCAAGAGGACTTTATGTACCATAAAAAGAGGTTAAGAATGATTTGGGGATGAAATGCTATGGGATAAAGTGACAAAGAAAGAAGATGTTGACGAGGAAGAGGGCAGAGGATGCAGACAGAGGTCAAGACAGAGTGGTAGTAAACAGTATGAGACTGGACAGAGATAGATAGGATACAGCAGGGGGTGTCACATAGGCTGTCCAGGATATTAATGCTGGAAAGCTAAATGATGATGAATAGCTCAAACAGGCCACACAACCTGTTGATAGATACAGATTACCATACAGTTACAGTGATTTGTGTCTTTAGCTTGTTGCTAACAGTGTGTAACAGCAGGTTCATGCTGTAGGTTGCACAGAGTGACAAATGTGGATCTATCCAAAAATTCTCATCTATCAGAGAGGGAATTTGGAAAGGATAGAATAACTGGCATTCGCAAGCAGTCATTAAACTGCTAGGAGCCCATAAACAAGGCAGATACATGATATTTCATAATCACTTATTCAGCAGAACAGCTACACTCTCAGAAATAAAGGTACAAAACTGTCACTGGGGCAGTACCCCTCTTGTCACTGGGGTGATACCCTCAAGGGTGCATCTCAGTACCTTTAGTCAGAAAACATAATTGTACCATAATCCATTGAAATGACATTTTCTAAGTTGTATTGACTCCACACACCCCGTCTCATCTCCTGGCTTTTTATTTTATTGTTCTGATTTAAAGGATTAGGTTATGGAAAAGTGCAAATATGTACTTTTTACCTGGGAAAAACGTAATAAAGGTACACAATTGGACCTTAAAACCACTGTTGTACCTTTGAAGGTACATTTAGATTGTTTGTACCTTGATGAATGAAAAATGTACCTGCACAAAGCCTTTATTTCTAACAGTATATGAGTATCTAGCAGACTCAAGCCAAACTAAGGTCTCTGAAAATGACCCTGTAGATGTTTAACTAAATCTAAGCCAAAAGGCATCCAACAGTTCATCTAAAGTGAATGGAGAAGAGGGAGAATTTTTCACAATTTAGGAATCCCATTTGGGCACCAACGGCAATGTTTTTTCCTTCTTCTAAAAATGCATTATTCAGAACATTGTTCCTGTCATTCACTCAAAATCGATTCGCTCCCGCTGCCTCTTAACATTGCTATAATCCTTCAGATTTCTGCATTGGAAATTCTGAGGCAGGGAATTATGTTCTTACAGGAGACAAGCAGATATTTATTGGAATATTTTTCACTCTCAAATGTGGCTAAGCTGTGACATTCAGATGCTGACTGTGTTGACCTTTAGTGATAATTCCCTGGGCGTCTGATGACAGCCCTCAAGCAGCGTGCATCACCTGTGCAGGAGCCTTGCTCCCAGAGTGGCCGTGTAATCCTGTTTGTCCTGACGCTCCGCCACAATAAAATATGTCCTTCCCGCCTGCCATTCCAACGCTCACCACCTCAATACCCAAAACACAGGCTTCTCTCTGGGGTTAGCTAGCAAGTGAATAGTGTTTGACTAGTAAACACCGAGGAGGCGAGATAGACATTTTTCACAAATCCTCCGAGGCCTCTGTAAATAGGGTAATGTAATGGCTCCTAGCCGAATGTCAGATAAGTAAGAATGGAGGTGCAGATCAGAAAGATTCGGCTAGTCTTTATTCTGCAATGGGGAGCAGAGGGATCGATCCCACAGTGCAGGGGAGAATCTAACAGACCTCCTTTATTGGGAGACCATCACTATCTCTACACTCAATCAGGCCACAATACAAAACCTGGCTCACACACATTTCCCAACAGGAAGGAAAATGATAAAGTGGGGAGTAGAGGCATTATAGAGTCATAAATGAAGTGAACTGAGGCATCTGATTTGAGTGAAAGCGAGAAGAAACAATTTATTCTTAAGGTTGGTTACATGCACTTGAAATTGATTTTATGTTCTTTATTTTTCGCTATCATGTCTTATTTTCTCTCTTTCATGCACGCGCATGAGCCAACCACAGTTTCATTCCGTTGTCTGAATGGTAGCCTGCACCAAGCATGACACCAGCTCTTTGAATGAATGAGGAAAAATACATGCTAGATTGCTTGTGGGGAGTTAGGCTGTAGGGGATATAAGGCAAATAAACAGGAAAAGACATGGCAAACAGCTTGATTTTGGCTGGCGGAACAGTTGAGCCTTGTTCAATTTTCCTCATCCTCCTGACATTTGTGTTTGCAAACATCCCCTCAGATCGCATTAGTCGTCCCATATCACTGCATCGCTATTTGTGCTTATGCTTTTGTAGATGTATTTCTATTAATAGATTGCAACGTGTGCGTTCCGTCCATCCAACTCTTTTGTACCTTCCTGGGTGCTATAATCTTCCTCTTTGCTCAGCAACTCAGCACTTATTTTTATGTTATGCCTTTAATGGAATGATTTATTTCCCACTTGTAGGTGGGATCAGATGTAACCCAGATAAAGACGAACTGTCCAGCTCATATAAAAAAGTCTCTCTCTTTTACCCTCATGTCTGACACATTCCAGTCTCTATCTCACTGATCCCTTGCCTATTCACAGTGCCAAGAACTATATTAAGCTTATTTCTTCTGCTATTGTCTGGGTCTATATTGTTTTGTTACCATATAAGTGAGCATTGAAGCGATGATTTCAGTTCATCAGCCAAAACACGTTTGGCGTCTGAGGTTTGCTTCTTTAGTTTTGTACTAGAACTGCAAGGCTAATGTAGCTGAAGTAATGAAAGCTCATACCTCATCAATTAGCACAGTGTAAATGGAATGTCTAAATCATTTCACACTTGTGTCAAATTGCGTTGAGTTCTCAAACAAATTCTTATGTGACTTCTGACAATGTGTGACAAACTATTATCTGCAATAATGGACAGAAATACAGAAAAAAATCAGTGTCCAAGATGGCTGCTGTTAATGTTTTTAGCTATGTGACTTCAGTGGTCAACCATGACAAAAAACTCCACACACACAAGGAAAAAACACCTCTGTGATAATGCTAATTTCAGCTGGCACCCATATAGGATTCTATTAGAATGTTAGTGCTAAGCTAACGGCGATTTATCCACCAATTTACTCACTAATTTCTAAATGAAACACAGGCATTCAAAGTTTGTAAAATGTATTCCATGTTTTATTTGAAGCTTGTAACAGACTTATGAACATGTATTCCAGAAGGCCTAGAGTGATGTTTTAATCACAAAATTGGCCATTAAAATTCGAAAACATGATTGGTTGATTCCACTGTCAGTTCCTAATTATATTAGCAGATAATCTGAGACATTCTGCCTTTGGTTCAGCTCCTGAAGTCCAACCAATGGGAGAGCTCGCTTGGCGGTATCAACCTGGATACCACGGAGAAGAAAATCCTTATTGGACAGTTTTGCATTAAGCAGTTTCAAGATTTTAATCCTTTCCTTTCCACAAAGTTACTACAGTACTTGCAGAATTTAAATACAAACATGATTAAATACAAATAAATTAAATTTTATAGGTATTCTTTTTATTCTTTTGTTTCTCAGAAATCATTAGGCTTTCTCTGAAAACCTATAAAGCAATGAAGGTTCCAGTTACAGTGGGTATGACATACTGTACTTTTGTCAATTTTTTAGACAGCAGCATCTATTGTACTGCCAAAAAACAACATAAGCAAGTCTATTTGAGATTAACTCACACCTCAACACAGACTGAGGCAAGTATATGACGATTGACATCCAGTGCAATCCAGTACCTATAGGTTTCCATTACATTTTCCATTACATTAGCCTTGTAGCTCCAGTGTAGAAATAAAAACACCAATTCAGACGCCAGGCACTGCAGAATGCGAAGGCTCTGAAAGATGTTTTAGGCGGTGAACTCACAGTGGTACAGGTGCAAGGTGTTGGCTTTATTTGGTATAAGTAAATTTGATATAACAGCCTAACCATCACTTTACCAACAGCTTAGCTTTGGCTGAGGGAAATGTCCCCCACTGAGCTGGACGCTGGACATGTACCGGCCCTACGTTTGAGTGACGGGGTTTCTATCTCTGTGCTCCGCCCTGCAGGGGAAAACTACCTCCAGAGACCTGCTGCTTCACACCTGTCACCTCCCTGATCGCAGCCTGGTGTGAGCTTGCTGGAACGCTCACACTGCAATTTACACCCCTCTGCTTCTCCTGGAGAGGGTAGGGGTAAGAAATGTGACTGAGAGATAAAGAGAGGAGATATTTTTAGTAGCGTAGAGAGATGCAGAGGGCAACAGTCCGATAAGAGCTAATAATGATAAAGGAGGGAGAGGGGACAGGAGGCCAGTGGGCTGTCTCAAAATAAAAATGGAAAGTGTGGAGGTGTATTATCATACTGTTTGCTCACACAATGAGCCTCTATCACCGAACTGAATTATTGAGGCGGTTTGGAGCGCATCCATAGCCCCTCCATAACACCCCCAAAGCCCTTCAGTGCCAATAATGAATTCCTGAGAAAAAGAGATGTTTTTTTCTTTCTTCGAACAATGGAGATGTTATTCTGGTCATTCCCACTCTCTTCCTCCATCTCCCTCTCTTTCCGTCCCTCTCTCCGTCTGTCCATCTCTTCCTCTGTCTTGCAGCACCTTTCCCCTTATCTGTCCCTGTATGACGGATGCAGTTGAGAGCTCGTTACGGGGAGAATGATTAAACAGGCTGTGACTGGGCCTGACGTTTGCCCCCGCCGACCTCATGGCCACTGTGCCTTTTCATGCCTCGCAGTCACCAAGAGGAAAATAACTAAATAAAGGCATAAAATAGAATGGCTTTAGTCCCCAGACAGACAGTGTAAAGTCAGTCTGCTGAATATCAATGAAGCATAGTTCACACTAAATTTGCCCTCATGAATAACACATCGTTGCTA